CGCTCCAGGCCCAGTCACCAGGATGCTTTCCGCCGCTCCCACGGCTCCAGCGAGACCTGTTTTCCTCCAAAGCTGCCCCAGCTGTAAGCTGCTGCCCAAAGGGCCAGGAAGGCTAAGGTGCCTGGATCTGTGAAGAGCTCGATGATCCCATCCAGCTGGGCTTCCTCCGCTGGGCTGGACTCCACATGGGACGAACCATGGAGTCCATTCGGGTCCTTGTGACAGTCTAGGACGACCCATCAAATGGTTTCAGGGCTGACGACGGCTCGTACTCAGCCGAATGATTTTTTGGGTACACCTAGTGGCTTGCTCACAAGGAGGCTAAAACAAGGACCACTTGAAAGACGACATGCGGATTCAAAGGACAAAACACAAATGAACTCATGACAATTAAAATGACTCTCATGACTCATTGACATCTCATGACACACGGTTTTCAGCATCTCCAAACTGAATCTTGTAATTGGAAAAACTAATCCATGTCTACGACAAACTCTTCCCAACGAGTGTTGCTGGTCCTGATAGGCCTTGAAGACCACAATGCCAAGCGTTTGGAGCACGAAAAGCAACGTAGGATCTAGCAATCCCACCAGCTGCATGATGCACAGCAGGGGGTTCCCCGTGCTTTGAACTCCTCTGTATATTTCTGAAATGATAGCAGCCCCATAAATGACAGGGAGAAAAACCGTGGAGTAGCTATGAGGTCATGAAGCTGGAGTTACCAGTTGATCAATCTTGTTTCCCAAAGAAATGCATAGGGGCTCCAGCTGGTGCAAGATGTCTTCCATCAGCAGGGGACAATGCATGGTCAAGCCTTAACATTTGCATTGTCTTTGTTCACTACATGAATGGTCCTTCTCGCACAGCTACGGCTTTGGCCCACTGCTGTCTGCTGAACCTTTTGAGCCCGGCCCACTGCTGTTTCTGCGAAAGCTCACCCTCATCACAGCATCATCGAGCACACACACACACAGCTTCGACAACACGAGGATCAACAGCTGGCCTTCCCTATCCATTGTCATGAGGAAGCATTTGCATCTGGGAGTGGGTTGAAGAAGACCCTCAGCATACCTCAGCCCATGCTTGGATTGAATCAGCATTTGTTTATGACTGTGGATGGTTGCTGTGGCGTTTCAAGAACTTTAATATCGAGACACGAAGCAAACAAAAAGCGAGATTAGCTCCTGGGAGGGACCAGAACAACTAAAATGTGTGGAGGTAGGATCTTCCAACAATTCTTTGTCTCCAACAATCAGTCCCAGTGCCCAGTGACTCAGTGACCAGCCGCTTTAGCCTACCAACAAGTTTTGGGGGACCACCCATGTTTTGTAGCCATATGTAGCCATAGCAAGTTCAGGCTGCAAACCGCTCATGGTGATCTGATTAGACACTTCGGTGATCGCCAAGCCACTGGCTCACTGGTCCCAGCACATCAGGCGAAGGCACTGGTCCAGCTCACCGTCCGGGTTCCTTCGGACCGACGATCTTCCTCCAGCGTCTTAGAAAGGGACAGCGTAGCGCACATCCTCCCGCGGCAACACCTGATGACACTGGCATTCAATTGTTCAAACACACAGCACAGGTGTTGACATGCACCGGTCAGTGTTGACACATGCGCAGAAAGGCGCCTCTTTGTCAAGGTATGACATCAACTTCAGAAGAACCTCGTCGTCCTTGTCAGCTGCGAAAGTAGGCCTTGGCTGCGCAGTTGATCCACACGCGGCCCGAAATGAGACGAAGAAAAGGGATCTTCGGCCGCGGGTATCACAAGGGGAAGTGGGCATCGTGGTCTGCAAGTGTGGTTGGTACGGGTGAAACATGTTGTAGTGAAGAATCCGCAAGGTTCCTGATAGTGGTATGGAAAAAACAGGAAGCAAACGCCACAAAGCGGCATTGGTTGCTCTCAAAGTCCCAACGCTCCGCACCCTGCGACCGCCAAGAAAGCACACAAGGGTCGGTGGCTTCTTAAGAGTGCTGCTATGGCACGATACACTTCATGCAAACATCACCAGTGTAATAATAGACTATGATGGTATTTATGCATAGATGCACTACTACAAACAATTGCATAACCATTCAAAACCTCAGACCAACCCTTGGCCCTTGAGGTTGTTCCTACTAACAACTGATACCCAGCCGGAAGACCATTTTGGCCCAGTGCAGCCGTAGAAGCACGATGATGGCATTGCCACGGTTGAAGTAGCAGTTTGCCACCGTGTCCTGCGAGCAAGGCTTCTTAAAGAAATGCAGCAAAAGAAGAACAGGGAACCCTGAGTTCGTTCCTCCCGTCTAAAGGATGGATGGAATAAATGCACACGAACAACTTGTCTTGGAAGGCAAATTTATTCTTGTTACTGATCTAGAGGTAAATCATGCACAGTCCTTGGATTGCAAAGATTAGCATGTGATAGCATGTGATCCAGCCCGAGTTTTCGGGAAAAGTCCTGATGGCCTAATGGCCTCAGAAATCAGCAAACAGTAGCAACGATGAGGTAAATTTGGAATGGCCAGCGGTGGTAAGGCCGCACAGGTTGCGGATTCTGATTCTACAAAAACCTAACACACTCCCTGGAACGAACATGGAAGTGGCCATCCCGTGGCCGTCCCGCCCCCCTGGAAGACCCATTTGGCGTCTCGGTCCTCCACGATGACGCAGCTCTCGCGGTGAAATCCCCGTGCGCGCCTTGATTGGGGAACCATCTGGTGTCATACGGTCTCCTGAAAGGTCTCCAAATGTTTTGACCGTGTCATGAGTCATGATGTGCCATGACTAACTCCAACAAAAGCTCTTGGTTATGTCCCCGGATCCCTCTATGTGAGAATCATCCTTCTCCAACCCAGCCCCCAAACCCTATAGGACTGGCCACGTATCCAGAACGGAGGGCCGTTCTGGACTGGCAATGACATCACTGGTTCATCATCACAATGGCAAGCCTGGGTACAGTGACACACGGGTGATCTTGAACATAACAAATAAGAACACTATCTTGCTTCATCTGCACCACTCCACTTTTCACCCACAGCCCCACATCATCCCCCTGCCCTCAACCATTCTGCCATTGCCACACAAAGTGGGGTTCTTCCTCCAGAGCACCTCCGAACGACCCCCTGCCTGGTGCTGGAACGCCAAAGTTTCTTCAGCTTTTTGGAGATCCTTAGGAGCTACGGAGCTCCGCCACGGCGGCCACGGCGAGAAGGATCGGATCGGACCCGACGGAACGGATCGGATCGGTTGGATGCCTCTTTGTGTGCCTTTCGCTGCCTTGTGAATCAAACATCCAAAAAAAACACAAGTTGTAAGAACACAAGCTGCAGACTGGAGTGCCTGACTGAGGGGGAATTGGAAGGAGTGAACACGCAGTTTGGCGAGCTCGGCGCGGGGGACTCTGTTGGCTGCAAGGGCGGGTGGTCTTTGTGGGCTATCACCAAGGAGCAACTCAAAAACTCAAGCAATAAGATTGAACAACAAGTCCATAATCAAACAACTTCTCTTCCAGTCCAGGAAAGGACATGTCACAACATATTGACAATGAAACTTGGTCTGTTCGTTTTGGTCCCCCTTCTGGTCCGACCTCCGGCCACCCAAACGGCCGTTGCAGCCTGAAATGGCTTAGCCTGCTTCAAGCTGACCGAATCTATGCCACAAGCCTTCAAACTCATATACTACTATACAAACACTGACTATACTGACCATGTATGTAGATTATAACAGGTCCAAAACCCAACAACCTCGTTCTATTATAGACCTTCGGGGCTCTATCTTTGTCACCGGTATCCATCAAAGCCGCGGTCTTGAGGTCCTGATTCTTTTTAGCTTTTTGGGGGATCACATCTCTTGTGGCCGACCATGGAGGCACCTGTGTCTCGATCCATTCAGGAAGGCAGCCATCCTTTTTCTTCTAAGCCGGTCCAGGTAGTCTAGAATCGCTTTCCTGAGGCGTCTAGAATTGTTTCTCCCTAGTGGAACTGAGAACTCCCTCAGCCATCACGTCCGCCAAACAATGCATCCTTCTCACCAGCCTACCAGCTTTGCCAAAAAACATGTTAGCAACGAACAGGTTTGAAGCCCACAGGCCTGATGGCCTTGCACGATGGTGAAAAGCTTGATCATCAAACATACCGCTGGAGGATGCTGGAGGTGTCTCTCCATGAGCAACCCCTCACATGTCCTGGTAGGGAACGTAGAAGGGGTGATGCATAAAGACCCCTAATGCTTTAACCTCTAAGGTGCTATTGTTGGACGCCCCTTAGAAGGGCCTCCTAGGAACACCCACACCGCATGGGACCTAATGATCTCTTCATTGTCATCCCTGAGGTGCCAGTGACTTCTCGGGGAGTCTCAGCCTGATGCCTCGCAGCTTTTTTTTTTCCAACGCGGCGAGTACTGAAAGGCTCCAAGGCCTACCGTAGATGGTCGTACCGAAAGCAAAAACAGTTCAAAGTGTAAAACCTTAGATTCTATACAATGTAAATCTCATCATCAAGTCCTAAACTGAAGGATTACGTGGATGAATTACATGCTCTCATAGATCTCATTTGTATCATTTGCTTTCTCCCGGTGCAACCTAACAAGGCATTCGATCACCAGCTCATGGCGCTGGCCGCTGCGTCTGGCTCATCCTGCGAAGGTGGCTCCGTTGTAGCCGATGTTTTGCCTTTCCAGGTCGAAGAAGCTCACGTAGATGCCTGACGTCGCCGACTGACGTGTCGTCGCCGAGAGTCGGCTTAGCAAAGAAGTGAGAACAACACACATGGACTTTACAATGATGTTGTGGTACAATTGAGATAGATCAGTATTAAAACTTTAAAGGTTCGATGGATCATTTACAAAGCTTTACACATTCTTGCACTGTTTGAACAGAACTTGCACGTGGAAGATTTTGACGATTTCAAAGTCCAGCAGGCTGGAAAACACATTGAGATGGAGCTTTGGAAGCTACAGAATAACAGGAGCTCAGCTCTCTCAGCTCTATGAATCACGTGCAATTACTTAATTCCGTCTAGAAGATCCAAACAAACACCTCCTCACTCGCCATCTGCAAATGCACAAAAGAGAAACACCGCTCAGTGGGGAGCACTGTGACTTGCGACATCGAGAGTCGGTTGGGCGCAACATCGAAGTCCGCCAAAAGCGCGGAGATCTCTTTGGTCAGCGCGCCGTTGTTCTCCTGTCGAGCTGAGCTAATCTTAGGAAATGAATTATGAGGGAAAGGGAGGGGGAACCGTAAATTTCCACTCAAAGGAAAAGCGTCGGTGATGGGTCGTGTTTGAACCCCACGGTCGGGGCAACAGTGGAACCCATCGGTCAGGAAGGGATGGGCAGGCAGAGATGCTGAGGGCAGAATCGCCCAAAGCCTGCAGCTGCCAAAGTAGTGAGACTAGTCAGGTACTGGCTGGAAAATTAAATTTGTCAAATATCAGTGAACAAACACAAACGGGCAATATGGGCAATGGATCAATGTTGTGGAGTTGCTGTGCCCCCACTGTACAAGAAGCAGCAACAAACTTAACTTGTTGAACAATGGCTCCATTTGGACATATTTGGACTATCAACAGTGTGCGTAAAGTCATTGATTGTTGACCTGGAATGGTCTGGCAACTGGCCCGCAGCTAGACCCACAGACCCAGAAGTAGCCACTCCTTGTTGATGGAGCCCAAAGAAATGACCTTGCACAAGGCGCACGGCGCCTCACAGGGTTCTGCACGGGGCGCACACCGTTTTTGCGGCGCTTGGCAAGAAACCTTGGCGAAAAGAGTCTTAGGCCTTCACAATCTTCACAACGATGCATAGGCTTCGACTCATTTGGCAAGTGAGATCTAAAAACCCACAATTTTGTTCAGGAATTTGACACCTTGATCCAACATCACCATAGTTCCAAGGTCCGCTTCGTCCGCTTCCGCCATGCCCAGCCTCGCTGCCACCCCAAATCATGTCCTGCCCATCCTGCACCAAGACTGCCACATAGCTCTCAGGCTTCCCCAGGCAGTTTGCCACTGCCTTGGATGCAGCCTGGAGAGCGGACAATGCCGATGGGGACACACAAATAGGTATTAGTTAAAGCTTGAACGTGGCAAAAGGTCGCAGCAACATGCACCATGTGTTACATTGAAATTCATAACTGACTTTGTTCATTTCCAAGCTCTTCTTGCAAATGCATGTAATCAATGCAGGCTCCCCATTCAATGCAGGCCTTCGAGGGCCCAAATTGCTGTGCAAGTGAACCTATATCAAACATTCTCCAATGTCATTATAGCTAATTTCACCTTAAACTTAAACAAGCTGCGCTTCCAAAGCCTAAAGCCAAGACCACGCCTTCATAAACTCCATCTTCTTGTCTCCCAACTTCACGTTGGTCTGCACGAGCAGCGAGGGATCCGTCGCGCCCTCCTCGATGCACCCGAACGGCGCCGCCGCGCTCGCCGCGTCCGTGGCACAGCGCGCCGAGGGCGCCCCGGCGCCCAGGAGCTTCCCGCGGGTGACGAAAAGAACAGCAGCCATGGTGGCCAAGCCCGCCTTCACCTGGATCAGCATCTGGATCAAGTGGGTTGATTTTGACTTCACTTTGATTGCAAAACATCATGCAGGGCGTCAGCGACGACCTTATTTAATACTAAATCCCCCTCTTATGCATTTTAATATTGATGCCTGTCTGGAATCTCGTTTTCCCAGTTTTCTACGTACCTATGATGCCACAGCACGACACATGTACAAGAGATCGCACTCCCCCTACCTCGTTCAGTGGGGCCACGACGTTTTGGGGAACAAATGCGGCCACCTCCAAGCTATTCTTTATGTAGGTAAAATGTACGCGGATGCTCACATGGATGTCACAAACGTATCAGGTATGGCCAAAGATTGCTTGTTCTGATTGCTCATGTTACCCAAATCATGTGATGCATATATATAATGGTCTATTATTGAATAATATCCAAGTTGGTCACCCTGCTAAATCCAGGTCTTCGATCAAGCCACTAGGCATGGCCCAGCTCCTCGGCTTCGGCCATGCGCCACTGTGCGCGCTAGGCCCGTGGGCAGCGGACTGCGCAAACTGCCCGGGGCCACCCAGGCGGTCCTGGGCTTCCAAAGTCCTATAGCTTTTAGTTGACTTGGTCCCAGGAGGTCGCCTGCTTAGTTGACAATGTTTTGCTTGCAGCTGCCATTGGTTTAGTCAAAAGCCGACTTGACAATAAACTTAACAAGCCAAAGAATCCACTTGCAATCGTTTAAGATTCTTAGAATTGAGTGCGCGTGGGGGAATGAGGACAGAACAATTTCAGGCTTGCAGTAATTGATCTTAGTTGCCCTAGCAACTATTCGGCAGAACCTTCCAGTCCCATCTCTGGAGTGCCAAATCACAGTTTCAGAAAGTTTGTCCAATCTCTCCATTAATATTGTGACAAAAATCTTGGTTACTAATTAGCCCAAAATGGGACATGAACAGCTTATATAACCCCCACGAAGTCCTGCACCCTTGACCGGTCATGAGCCACCGTCGATGCATCTAAAATAAGTTTGACGATTAGGCTTCTAGAAGCGATGCTGCGAAAACTGTAAAGCGGACCAGGAAGGACTTGAACCTCGAAACTCTTGCGCTGACCTTACCACAATGGCAAAGAGAGCCGACACCTCCTCCAGTGAAGGCCTCTCCAAGCGATCGTTTCTTTCTCCAACAGGGTGACCACCCGGTACCTCAATCTGCCGAATGGCGCGCCCAACCCCAGCAAGGCCACCAGCCGGCCGAACTGGCGAGGCATCACTCGCGGGCGCCAATGAAGGGGCGCTGCCGTGGCGGAGGCGTGCGATGGAGCCCAAATGGCTGAGTGCCACGGCGCTCAAAGCAAGCCAGCCTGGATGCATTTTCCTCGTTCAATCCACCTGGCTCAAGCCTGGAGGGTGAAGGGTCCCTGCATAGCATGTCTTTCATGAAATCCATGAACATCATGTGCACAACAAATTGATCAGCTCCATGCACCTCCCCGACCTCCCCCAACCAACAAGAAAACCAAACCAAGCGACCCAATCTCTTGCCCTTCCCGATCTCGCTGTCGCTCGCTGCAGTGCTGCTGGGACCTGAGTCCGTCTCCTAGGAATCAACGACTCGTCCTTCCAAAACACTGACATCATGAATGTGTTTCGGTAGGCATATGGGATGATCCATGGTGTCGCCCGGACAAATGATTGGTGAGGGTCATGTCCTCATTGTCTTTCCACGTGAAGCACCAGTCAGGCAAACTACTCCACATCAACTGCGCAACATGTGCGCCTTGGAAAACTGTTGACAACCACTGGCCAGTGGCATACATATAGGTCTGCCCCAATCCATTTCTGTTGAATTGAATTAGTGTCAGCATGCCTCGGTATGCAATATGCTCAATATATTCATATAAGAACGAAAGAACAGTGTTCGTTCTACCTACATGTCTCTACCATAAGGGCAACCTCCCCAAAATGCAAAACAATAAAGCATTCAAGAGTTCAGGTCGTTGCCAGGATAGTTCTCGGCCCACTCAACCCTCCAAGATCTCAAACATTGACAAGTCGCCAAAAGAAACACCAATCACGATGCTTTCCCAAGACCTGCAGCATCTTGCGGTGTTTCTGCCAATATGATTGCAGAATCATGCAGCCATGGCCTGTCGTCCAATGCAAACCAATCAATAGTCTACGCAATGGCTCATGTCCCCAGTTGATCCTAAGAAACAGTCCCGGTGGCCAATCACGCAACTGGACCCGACCTGTTTTGCTCTTTATGTATATATATATCATAATTATATATATATATATTCCGAGATCTTGGGTTTTGTTCAACCTTCATTCAGTGATTCAGCCTCATACAAACTCTAGACTGTAGACACATGTTTTTGTAAATTATCAGTGGCCGTTTCCTGCCCTCGTGACATCAAGAAAGAGCACAGCTGGATTTCTGGAGACCCGCCAGATGAGGGGCTGGATGAGCATGCACACACGCCACCTTCATATAAATATAATCATGGAAGTAGAAGATGAAACCCTCCAGCTCCCCTTTCTTTCTTCTATACAGAGGGTTCTGCTAAGAGAAAGGGGCAATTCCTGGCACGTGGTCATGATAATATGACTTTTAGCGCTTTTCAGTATAGGCAACATACGTGCTTCCACTTCACAGGCTCCAGCACTTCATGCCAGCATTAAAAAAAAACTTTAGAGAAAACATAGCTCTGGGACAAATAGCCATGGAATTGAAGGTCTTTAAGTCAAGTGCTGCTTCTGACCAACATGAGGCCGGCTCAGGCAATAGTGGAACGATACCATGACCCGCAGACCCCCTCGGTTTGGAGCCTCGTCGACCACCAAGTGGCACCAGCTTGCATCAGAGGTTGTCCAAAGGCCCACACCATCAAAGCCTCAGGAGGACGACGTTGACCCGGACCACCGCAACGTTGCTTCTCCGCAGTGCTTGGGTGGTTGGCTACCTGTGGGAGAATAAATGCATGTTCTAGCATACTGCTACGAAGAACGGATGCCGCCATGAGCCTGTGGAATCCTCGCCGCCATAGAGGCTAAAGGCGTTAAAGAATGGACAAAAGTCGCGCTAAACACTCCCATGCAACAAAAAACCATAGATTGTAATCAGTTATGGTTTGATCGGCTTATGAAATGGATGGGTCTGCATTTGTCCATCGCCGCAGGTGGCACGACCTGGAAGGCAAGCAGCATCAAAGCACACTCAATAGAGTTACCACTGCAAAAAGGTTAAACAATGGCTTTAATATGGACTACTTGTAGCAATGGCGACTGGAGCTCTAGGGTGAACCCAGCGATTGCCACAATGCCCGATACAGGACTGCCAGTTGCTTCATCGGTTCCTTCCAAGGGGCGTTCGAAGCAAAAGTCCAGGAACTCATCGAGATGTGGCCGTGCGTAGATCGCCGTGTGCTCCTCTCTCGATCACCGTGCTGGAGACGGGTGTACTGCTTAGTGTTCCTGTACCTGCTTGAGATGGAGGAGTCCATGACATCGTTAAACGATTTGTGCAAAACAAGAACCGTACTGCATCGGTACTGCTTACAAATAAGGATCCTTGAAAAGCCTGAGTTCACAAACGAGGGTCTTAGTGGGGAGCCCTGTTGAAGAGTGCCGGAGGCTGGAGCCCTAGACTGAAGTCCCAACAAAAATAAAGTTTATTTAGGCAGTCAAAAAACAGTTGAGGAGCGTCCTCAGTATTTTTTGACTTCTGCATGGACAACAAGAAACGAGAAACCCAAAATGGTAGCAGCGACCCAAACCAACATAAACAACCTGTTGAAGACCATCAAATGTCTCAGTCTCCACCTCACTTTATGATGTAACACGCTGGCAACCAATAACTGCAGCACTCTTGGGGCAAGCACTGGGTGCAGGAGCAATCTGCAAACAGGCTGCACCACCCAAAAGTCTCTACACAAGTAGGGTGGTTCTTCTCTATATATATGTAGCAGTGCCGACCTGTACTACAACTACAACAGCAGCCTCCTTGCAAAGTATCTGTTTCGTTCTTTTCTCTGGTCCATCATCAAGAACTCATTATGCAGTGGTTCTGGAAATGTTTCCCCTGCTCACAATCAGTCTCCTTGCAAACCATTGGCGTGGCCTGGGCTGTGCTACCACAGCACACAGGCTAAATGCTCACTACCAGTGCTAACAAGCTTCTGGATAATCACATCCAATGCAGCTTCATAGCTCATCTCCCACGAAGGGCCGCGCACCCGAATATTCTTTCCATCCGTTTCTTCTGCAAGCCCTGTGGAAGAAACCCACTGCGACCCTTGAAATCTAAAAATATGCAGCGCGTTTGGGGAGTCCAAAGCCAAGTACAACATATCAAATTTTGCGAAGTTGATCCCATGAAATTGGCACCGCCAACTGTTCTCAGACCACGCCAGCCTCGCGGACTTACATTCGACGCGCAATCCATCTCTGTGCCAATCACATGGGGAGTTGGAAGCTGTTGAAGTGAAATGAGAGGAGCAAGAGTGACAAAGCAAATCTACTTCCTGCACCACACGCTGGAACAGTAATCCACGCGCAGAGGGAGTCAAGTAGTTCAATGGGTGTTGTGCAAAAGCTTTGCGCTGGATTCTTAACGAAGCTGTTGAGGTATGCCATTGCAATGCTTCAAGCACCAACTCGTCCGACGTCTTGAGGCTGGCGACACAGTGACCTGACTTCAGGAGCTTCTTCAGAACTACATCCTCCGCCTCTCTCAAAGTCGAATTTCTGGGACCGCAAACGGACAATTGCAGTCCCTTACTCACAGTTCTCACGCCAGTTGTTGACAAACGACTCTTGCAATCATGTGTGAAGAGATTCAGTTGAGACGGACTGTAGAGAACCAACACCAGGTCATCCAACAAGGATGGCTTAATTCCGCTAAGCAGCACTCTCCACCGCCTGCCTGAGTCGCACCACCGGAGTTGAGCTGACTTGCACTGAACCCTTTTGCCATCACAAAGCCAATCGTATTCAGCAGATGTTATCCCACGTTGCTTACCATCACATTGCTCGCCGGGTACTGGATCTTGCACCATGGAATCTGGATAAAGTCTCGAGAATACTTTGCGAGCCACTGTTTCAAGTACTTGTCCCCGCAGTGATGGAGTAATGTCGTTGAGCCGACAAGCGGCATAAGCAGCTGTAGTGACGGAGACCTTTCCCACATCTCTGGCAGCATCCAATGAAGACAAGGGAAATGCACTGACATGACGCAGTGCTCCTTGTGTCAGCCAAACAGCTGCGTGCTGGCTGCATATGTTTTTGGCCAGGTGACACAAAACGGCCATTGGCGACTTCGGTCTTCTGGCCAAACTGCCCTTGAGCCTGGAGTCCTCGTCACGTCCTGAGTGGAGTGTTCTGGAAGTCCCTGGCCGAAAGCAAAACCTGGCTTTTACAGGTGCCAACGAAAGCTCCTTCACAAATTGAACCCTTTATTCTCGGCATCCATGTTTCGGCATTTCGGCATCTTTTCGTTGGACCCATAGCCGCAACATCTTTAGGTGATACAAAAAGTGGCAGTGTAGCCATAGCAACTTCGAACCCGTCATTGATAATCTCAAATAGGAATTCGGAATTCTCTGTCCAAAGCTTCACCAGTCCTCGTGCACATATGTCGCCGGCGAGCTCCCATCACAAAAAGGCGTGGAATCGATCAACGTGCCGTCAATATCCAGCACGATGCCTAACACTTGAGGTCAATTGCAGAAACCACTGCAGCACCATCACAGCGATTGAAATAATATCACAGTTCAGCAATAATCTGTTTGAGACTTTATGCCGGCCTCTCATGAGTAAAATGTCCCTAAATAAGGCTAAGCAATCTCATGTTGCACAAACACCTAAGCTAAATAAAGCTTGATTGTTGTCATGATTCTTGAACTGTGTCCTGTTTTCTTAGTTATATACAGTAATATATTTGTTGTGTCCCAAGTCTTTTATTGTGTGACGTGCTGATTCAGCAGGAAATGCGTGCGTCTTCCTTTGTTTTTTGAAGAAGCACTTCCGGGCCGACCTGCATGTCACCATACCCAAAAAATTGTGTGCCCTAAATAAAGCTAACACATGTTCCTTTATATGTATAGCTTATTTAGCTTTTGGGTGTTTCATGTCATTTAATTACAGCACTATGTTCATTTCATAACTTTAAATCACCAAATTCCAAAACCTTCTGTCTTCTTTTTCAAAATCCTTTCATCAAAAACAATCCACAACTGCCAAAGATCAATGTGAAAAGGGTACCCCAAATGCTGCACCCCTAAATTTAACTCCCCAATACTAACACCCTTTCATCCCCATTCCATAAAATCTCCCTCCCCAATATTTATCTCGTTTCATGTCCCTTCTGGGAAAATGTATCTCCTCAATACTAACCTCATCTAACCCCCTTTCTCTCCATTCCAGGAAACCTACGTCTCCACAATGCCCGCTGATTAGGTCTACTTATATAAAGGTGCTGAATGGGGGGGGCCCTGTTGTTTACCAAAATGGCTGATGGGACATCTCAAAGTTGGATAGTGTTTGCAAACAAAATGATCAATTACCATAGAGCCATGGACGTCTCTATCGACAGTTTTGAGGAATCCGGAATCACAAAAGTGTACAAAGGTGTGAGTGAGATGCACATAGACGTTAAGGTTGTGGTCAAAAGGAATCTGCAGTATATGTTTCAACAAGTTCAATCGAGAAAAACCACCCACCCAAACCTCACCTTTGGAGTGCACATCACTCAGCATGGCCAGGATGGTCTTCTCTGTGCAGCCACATCCAAAGACCTGCAAGTGACTGGTAAGCAAACGGCTTTCATGTAACTGTGGATGAAAACCCTGGAGCTGCTGATATTCTACAAATGAAAATGCAAAAAATGACGGACACGTTCATACACTTTCGATCTAGGGGATATTTATCTGCAAGGGTCACACCACCAGGATTCTTGGGTCTTTTCTTCTAATGACTCACACATGCGATGATGGGTCAGTCCACCGTGGTCAAGCCCTGGGTGCAGCAAATTTTAGCGCACCTATAGGGAGCTTCTCAGCATTTAAAAAGGCCGTAGTTGGCAGGTGAGGTCAATTACCCCCTTACTTACGTTCTAAAATTACCAGTAGGGTTGTCACAAAAGCACCTCAATCCATGTCAAACGATAAATTGCCACACCTGGGATACTGAACTGGTCTACAGAAAAGCAGTAGACTAGAAAACCTTCACACCAAGCATCACCAAGCATGTATGTATGTGTGAGAAAAACAACATATATATATATATTATAGATATACAGGCACTGCCCTTCTGTGACCCTTTGAGATCACTCCACCCCTCTCAGTGACATCTCCAACCGATCCCCAAAAAATATAGCCTGTAATGCTTTTTGAACCTCCGCAGGCTGAAGTCCGTAGTAGGGATGCGTGCGGATATGATGCTTCCTGAGCCCAAAGCCGAACGATGCCTGAGAGTTTCTCCGAAACCGTGTTTTTGTCTACCTTTATAAAAGGTGCAGGTAGCGGTGCCGCTCAAATACGAGAGGCATGTGCACTTGGTTTTAGTTTTTATACATTGTGTTAAATCCATTTTTTTACGCAACTGCAGTTCTTGAGAAACATGTGGGAAGATTTCATTCCACTTGGCACCTATTGTCACATCAATTGTTAAAAAAAAAACACAAGTTTATCTTTGCCCAAGTCTCCGCAAGTGCTCGGGCGCTGCGGAGGCCAAGTCCATGTCATCGAGCCTGGGTCATGCACCATGTAGTGTAATATTCGACACCCTCCTCATCCTGCCATATCAGCTAAATATCTCGCTTTGCAGCATCCCTACTAGTAGCTAGGGAAAGTTAAGACTTGTCTTGCCTCAGCCTCCTTCTGACATGGTGTCAAACTGAAGATCCAAACAGTTTGGAAGCTTTTGCAGTCGGCTCCGCTTGCAAGTAACTCGACTTTTAAGCCCCAGCTTGCCAAGGTATTCTGCACCTTACCACCCGAGTCACGTGATCCACTGCTGGACTCCAAACCTGGGAGCAAAGATGAGTGGTTTCTCCCAGTCTCCGCTCAAGCAAACAAATCGCAATCAATGCGCAAATGTCAAAACAATCTTCACTGTTTGATCTATATTGAAACTATATGGAAACTATGGGAGGGTGGAGGAGGCGTCTTCTTCTGCCAATGATGCCGGTGTTGGAACGGTGTTGGAATCCGCCACCTTCCAGCGGATACAATTTCCACAGGGTATTCTTTTATCTCTATATCGGACTCAGTGTCAATGGAAGGGTGTCTCTTCAAAACTCATCAAACCACATCCCACACACCATGTCCTCTCACAATGCCTGGCACTGGTCAGCAAGGCCTGCCTATAATTGCTCGATTCTTCCTGTAGCCACGGACGCTAGCCCTGTTTGAGAGGAACAACTGCTCCTAGGTGAGGTGAGGTTTGGAAAAATCATTGCATCTAAACTCCTCAAATCCAAATCACAGAGTTTGACGAGTTCCAACCTCCAAATCCCCTTCTCGTCAACACCCCAGCCCGGTGCCCCCCCCGCCCGACGGGCTCGCCCCCCGTCTTTTCGGCGCCGGAGCGGCTCCGCCCGGAAGGCGCTCAGCCAGCGCCGGATCTCCGTGCCGCGCCGCGCGGCGGCCGTGGGACCGGCGGTGCGGCCCAGCTCGCAGGTCTGACCTCGGGGACCGAGGCGAACGGCGAACGGCGAGCTGGGTTGAGGGAGGTGGGAGGGAGAGAGGGTATGGGAGGTGGGAGAGATCTTACTTTTAAGGTGGGAGGGCTGGATTTGTTTTTAGTGTGATGGCGTGGTTTGATGAGTTTTGGTATAGTTAGGTTTTTCTCTCAGGTGACTAACCCATGCATGCGTAATTGTTTGCAGGACTGAAACAGCAGCGTCTGGACATGCCCTTCCTTGTTGATGAATGTTTTGGATGCGATAGTGTATGATAGTATGGATATGAGTGGGTATGCAAGAAACCCATGTACGTGGTTTCCAAACAAATCAACAGTCCCCAAGAAGATTCCGAGAAACGAACAAAAAACTGCCGTGTAGAGGCTAGTACAAGCTCCGTGTGTTGTTTCCGCTGTCCTGGAGAGCAGGAGGGTTTCATAAGTTCATACCTTTGTTGGAAATTCCTTTCACATTTCAAGAAGGATGATCCCCCATCTCCATCATTGATTGTGGGAAGGCTGCCATGCAACATGTGCTGTCCAAGAGGCCCAAAAAGCGCCACCGTGGCAAACCGACATCGGCACACACCCGCTTCAGATCCTGTGGAGTCTTGCTCAGATTGTTTTGGGGGACGCGTGGCTTTTGGGGGGACTATGAAGAGTGAGGCTTTTTCATGTAAGGAAACAGCACAACAAAATCAAACTGGCACTACGAAGAAGCCTATAGTACTATAGGGCCTAGGAAATGATGTCCAGGGCATTTATATGCCCCAAGGTTCAAAGGCCGATTGTTTTAATAGACGTTTTGAGTAGTCCGGTTTCTGAAATGTGCTTTCGGTTCACGGTGGTTCACGCATGCCTCCCGCGGCACCCACAAACACTGTCACTGGGGCCACTTTTCACTATCGGCCACGGGCAAGTCTTGATGCCACGGCTTTGTTCCACCTGAGCTGGTTCATCGCTTTCACTCTCTATTTTGTATTTTCCACATGTACTCAGAAGTGTTGTAACTAATCCAGTCCAGGCACTCTTTCAGCTTGAACTTGGTTGACCAAATCCTTGGAAGCTATTATGCATGCTTTATTAATGGAACTGACTCAGAATCGAATCTTGCAGGGTTGAGTGAGCTTCATTTTTCCTGCTTTGCTTTTCTCCACTCCAGCCAAGACATGAACAAACACAAAAGATCAAAGCACCTATAAAATAAAATGCAAAGGATCCGAAGGCGGCCGCAACGGACAATCCATCGCGTCCGGCGAAGTGGGTGGGCTTTCAGGAAAGTACCTCAAGCGTATATAGAATCGATCTTTTCATCAGCTAAGTCCCCAAAAGTGTGTGCGCTGCAAAGGGGTTGGGCGCATCACAGTACACTGTTTTTCCATGTTTTTCCAAGTGGCTTTTTGTCCAGTTCATTGAATCCTCATCCGCAAAGCAGTGCCAGTGTCTTGGGTTCACTCCTGAGATCAGATCTACACGGAGCATGAGTTATGGACACTAGCTTCAAACAATGACGAAGCTGTCCGATACTTCAGCCATCCCAGATTGCACATCGAAATGCAGAGCAAGACTCGTCCGTCCCGGACTGATTTCAGAAGATGCCATAAGCCCTAGGCCAGTAGCTAGCTGGCTGTCTTCCAGTCAGATTGGATGTTTCAAGAATAGTGGTAATAGCGTACCAAGGCCAAGATACATGGATTTTTGGTCGGATGTACCACTGCTGGTAATTTCGCCTGCCAGACCAATCAGCGCACATACGCGGTTTTAGTTTTGAAGGTTAAGCGCTTGCATGACGCAACATGCATGTGCGTGTGGCTATATGTCAGCAGCTTCTGTAGGAAACCAACATACCTGGGACAACATGTTGAAGGGTTGCAAACCGGTGCAGGTGATGTAGAGATCGATCGAATTAAAATGCTTGCAAAATGCGCATCGTGCTGCAAAGCCTGATGGAAATGCCGGCTAACTGCAGCCACAAGCGAATGAAGCTTTGTCCATCCCTGAAGATTTGGTTGGACTCGGCTTCTGTCCTGGCAGACAGATTGGCACTTGCAAACCGGGCCTACATGCATGCATGTGTAACGGTTTTTTAAATAGATAACGTACAATTGACAAACAACATTGCAAAAGATCAGCGAAGCTGCAAGGGATCGTATTGATCACTGGCTTTCACCCAACCAAAAATGTCAGTCACTTCACAGGAAACATGAATGATTGTGAATTTTCACTGCGGGTACTATTCCACTTGAGGCTTAGGTGATTCTGATGGCATTTATATTAGTGCAGACTAGGGTCAAATAGCGACCAGCAGCTTCCATGCCGACCACCATGCGAGTCAAATGAAGCCTCATTGCCCGGGAGCTTGGCAAGGGAACTGCATCGCGAACTTTGTTGAATTAGCTCGATCTATCGCACGACAACAGTGCTAGGTCTGCCATTGTAAAGCACACACACATGTGCACACCTGCGTGCTCTTGAGCTCTTTCATAAATTGATAATATCCAAGTGCAACATGCATAGCATAGAAATAAGTTGAGTATATGCTGCAGTAAGCGATGACATCTTGATCGATACATGGAAATTTCGAAATATAGCCCAGCTGTCCTTCGAAGTGCGGCTGGCCATGATTGATGGCACGGCGATGCAACGCGCTATAAATTATAGTAGCTAGATTTTAATTGGTCGAACTGCAAGATGAATGCTGGCAAAAGGCATTGCGAGAGCAATCACAGGTGTCCTGTCATCCTTCGAAGCAAAAGGCTCACACAGTGAAGCCACAGTATGAGCAAGCCACTGCATCACAACCCGGCCATTCCATGCTTTGCAAAGCATCAGGATGTCGCCATTCTGGTGGTACACCTCAGTTGGAAGTCATGCATAATATATATAACATACAAACATTGCCCCTGCTTCAACGACATGACGTCGACAGGACATGATGGGGCTGTTAGCAAGCCTTGTCCCCTAGCTAAGCCACAGCAGCATGTCAACAGCTTGGCTATATGCTTCCCGCAACATCATATCACCAGCATCTGCCGAGTGGCAAGCTTCTCTTGGAAGGCTGGCTGGCTGCAGCTTACTCTCGTAGCATGGCACCACTGCTTGAAGTCAAGGTAGGCCCGATGAAGGCGGACCCTCTTGGGATCTGAGTTGGGATCTCCCCAAAGACCACTTTCGAGAAGGAGATGCCTGACTTCAGCCAGGTTGTGCAGAAATACCTAACAGCTTGCCACCCATATTGCATATAAGCACCAACAGTGGCCCATTCTTCAACAAACGCAAATATCGCTCAGTTACATCGTCCCACCATTCGCCACATAGAGCACCCCAAGATGCAGCACATGCATTAAGCACCATTTAATGGTGGAGGGATGGAAGCCAGGAATCGCCACCAAAGGGCCTGCCATCGATGAATGGAGTTTTCTGGTCATGGGCAACTCATTCCCTTTCGTGTTCAAAAGCTAAAGCTTGAGATGACCCTGGGCATGCTTTCGTGAAAAACTCATGATTCATGAGGACAGGGCTACACCTGAAGCAACAAAAACATTGATGAATGGCGCGCCATGTGTCAAATGTTCCGCGGAGGGGCTCGCTGTGCCAAAAAGGTTACTAGTGTAAACTCCTCGTGGTGCGGATTCTCAATGTTCCAAAACAGCTCATTCCAGTCATCTGAAATTCCCTTGGCAGTGCATTGATGGCACATCTCTTTGCCATTCCAATGGGTCCGGTGGAACTTCCAGACTTTCTTGTGCCATTGCCAATCGCCTCTGTGCTCGCTCACGAAGAAGCGATCATGGCCACTTGTCAGGGGCCGGCCGGCCTTCTCCGCAGCTGGGCCAACCAAGTCCTCGCCATTGGGACCTTTTTCTGGAAAACGACCGTGAAAAGCGTGTGTGCAACTCCATGCCACTCTACGGAGGAAGGCATTCAGGGTACCACTTGTCATTCTTTCCTCCTCAATTGCAAAGACTAGGTACCTGCTGTATCTGACCGATGGTGGTTTCCATAGCACCACATTGCAGAAGAAGGCAAGGATGTTGATCGAAATCCCATACTTGTTGGTGACCTTTGCTGAGTCACCGTACAACCCGATGGGATAGATGAGCTCTGAATCGATGCTGTGTGCCCAGGGTTCATTGTGAGACTTGGCCCATCTCCAGTACTTAATTCTCTCACTGGCAGGCACATGTAGTTTCTGCGCTCCGACCAAGAAGGATAGAGTGTCATGCACGTCCAAAATCGGCCACGCTTCAAGTCTAACTATTGTGGCCCCATTGCAGTCCTTGTATTTCACAGGGACGTCCACGGAGTTCACCTCCTAGGTTTCTGAGTCTGAGAATTGGCATTTGGCTTTTGAGCATGTGCATTCCATTCCAAGATGAGATGAGAGGTTTTGTGAGCCAGCATGGCACATTTCGCATGGATCGATGCATGTGCTATATTAAAGGAAGCGCACAGCAGTGCAATATATATATATATATAATAATATAATATATATATCATAATCTATAACTCAGATCTAGGAAGAACACACAATGGACATGCATGCATGCACACATGTTTTTATTACATAAAGCAAATAGGCCGGCTTTTGACACAAAATAATCCAAGGTTCAGGTCCATCATCCAGGAGCCGCCACCAATCTCTAGAGAAGTTGCACTTGGACAATGAACCCAGTTTGCGGGTCAAAGGGTGCAAGGGGAGATGGTGACCACAGTCCTTAGAGCATGCGCTCCTTGCCTGCAGCCCCTTCCAAGAGAACCGGTCATGACAGTTGGCAGCAAACCACAACTGCAATGCAGTACACAAAAATTGTCGTTGAATGAAAACAGGTTCCAAATTCCTGCGAGTCCGTCACCTCGAGCATATGGTCCGTCATCGTCCATAGCAAAAGATTAATCCAAGTGGTGGTTCTTAACAGGTGGATTACACAGTGCAGAGTTCATGCATGGTTTCATGATCGATCTAGATGATAACGTTCTCACTGTTTACATGACATGTCGATTGTTGCGGAAGGGGGGTCCAAGTCTCGTGGTTTTACTTGTTGGTGATTACTTGATCGATTGACGGTGCCCGAATCCCCTGCCCAAAGCTCCAGCTTGCTGGCTGAGGCTCTTCAACGTGGGCTCTCACATGTCGCATTGCTTTGCCAACGGTGCTCCCCTGAGCTATGAAAGACGACGTCTGATCGAAGTGAATTTCGGGTTGGCTCTCTAAATATCTCGTTGGGCTGTGCATGCATGAAGGAGTTGTTTTCATGCATGGTTGCTCTAGCAGCAGTAAAGGAATAACCCATGGTGCCAAAATAGTTCACGGGTATTTGGTGCCATTCTCCTACCCATATTAAACTCTATATAGCCAGGAAGCTCCGCTGGAAACATCGTTGATGGAAGTGGCCAGGACGTTTGAGACATCATGATCAGGTGAACCTGCATCGCCCAAACCTGCGTGGGTCAGTCCCATCTTTATAGAATACGACCACTACAGCGCCAAAGTTGACGGGACTTGTGCAGGGTCAACAGGGCTGGCGCTGTGCAATAGAAACTAATTTGCAAGATAGAAAGCACACGCATGCAGTTGCAGTTTTGACTGGTTGTTGCCAG